ATGAGAATGGAGTTAGATGAGGCCATCGGCCAGCAGTGGCCTGACAGGCTGATGATGATGATGATGATGTTGATGATGATGATGATGATGATGACAGTAATGTTCTTACTTTTAAGAGATTACTCAATCCTTTTTACAATGTGTACGCCTGAAGATTTTTCCAACTCGTTCTATCCTCTGCGGGTTTTTTTTCTTACAATCTGTTTTGTTGTCATAATTATTTATATCCGTTATTTACTGATAATTATTTGTTTTCTACTGTTTTATGCAAGAATTCAGAACAAACAGTCAAGCATATTTTGAACCTTACCTTACCTAACTTCTTCCTTCGCGTCAAGTGACGCATAATGCCTCAACAGAATGCCTCCATCCGTCTCTGTTGGCTGCTGCCGCTCTAGCTACTCCCCATGATGTCCATCCTCCCATATTTTTTTTTTTTTTTTTTTTTGAACACTTAAAAAGAATTAATCCAAAAATGAAAACCTAATGGCCGTTCTTACGCAGGTGTCCTTGTTGAATAAATTGGCGCCTTTTTGTCGTCACATCTGCTTTCTAATTTCACGCCTGAATCACATCACCTTCAAATTTAATCATAAATTAATATGAAAATCAACTGAAAATCGATTAATAAAATGAAATCCGTTCGCTGTTTAAATCGTTACAAGATAATCTCACTTTGTTATATTTAGTATATTGCGCCCTCTTCGGTAGAACTTGTGGCAGTCATTTGAAAACGCTGATCATTAACAGTTCATTTCAGTTCAACATAATATAAAAATATAAAAACAAGCTAAAACAAGGTTCAATAGCCTCCGATAGTCCAAATATGTATATGATAAATCAACAGATGTCAATTATTATATGAATCAATTATAGAGTACAAGTAAAATGTATTTGTTTGATTGATCGTTTGTATATAATCATTGCAAATACGAAAGGTAATTATTCTAAATTATGTACACGTTTAATATAAATGTGTTAAACTTAGTTATATTGTCCCTATGATGTTGTAAAGGGTGCGTACCTTTGGACAGAAGGGTCTTTGATCCAAAGGCCCGTTGGTCCGAAGGGTCTTTGGTCCGAAGACCTGTTGGTCCGAAGGGTCTTGGATCCGAAATCCGTTGTCCGAGTTGTCTTTGGTCGGAAGATACGAATTTTAGTGACCTGGTTTTCCAGGAATGTAAGTTTAACATTTTGAAATCGTGTATTATTCGCCACCAGTTTTTGCTTATAAGAAATTAGAAAATAGTAAAGCCCCTGCATGGGTGGTGATCACTACGGTACCTTGTAGCAGTATGAGAGTTGTGTGGGTTTGTGTATTCTCTTCCTTCTCAGTTAAGGTGCATAACATTAGCTTCAATTCAATTTTATTTAATTAATGATATTTAGAGGACTTTTGTCAACTCAAAGAGGTATGTTAAGTGTCCGAAGTTTTTTTTTTTCGCACGATTGTGAGAACAGACCAATTTTGGCGGTTATCATGTTCAAGTTCAATTTATTTGTCATCAAACGGATAGAACTTGCACGAGGCAGGAAAAACACATAACAACAACAGATGATGTAAGGATAACCAATTAAAGTTAAAACAAAAAAAGTAAATTTTTTTTTCAAAGGGGTCCTACATAAAACCAATTAAAAAACATTAATTTACACTAAAAATGGTAAAAAAAAATACCTATGAAAAGCACTAAAAACAGACAAAAGGCATTAAAACAATTTATGTCCTAGAAGTATTTTTTTAAATTAAAAAACGCTATATACATTAAAATGGAGGAAAATAATGTTCAGCTATTTGTCAAATTGGCTCTTTAGTTGTAGTTAGAGACGTATTGGCCATTGAAAACACGAATGCGTTTCTTTATCTGCTTTCTTGAGTGATTCTTTATTTTACATGATACATTGCGTATTTAAAGTAAGATCATTCTCTTCTATATGACCAACTTTTACAATAATATATTATGTGATCTAGGCCTATGCTTTTCTCCATAGATTTTCTCGGTTTTTCATTTAACTAGCAATAATTGTATGCACTGGGTAGTCTCCAATATGTGTTTTTCCTTTTTTTTTTAAATTATATTTTTTCTCTATATTTGAAATTACTTCGGAACAACGGACCTTCGGACTAAAGACCCTTCGGACCAATGGCCTGACCCCGTTGTAAGATTATTGTCATATGCTTTGAACCTGACACTCATTGCGACCGAATGTCGGCGGCCGCGGCAATTCTATGAAAAAACGCAACGCCGTGACTCGCGCGCAACGGATCGATTTTAATAACGATCCGTTCAGACTGCCACCGACAATAAGCAGACACCGCCGCGTCGTATGGCGCTCACAAGGAAGTGAAGTTACATTCGTCGGCCGGCGGTCGCAACAGTCGTACGGCGCAGTGAGTGCCCGGATTAATAGTGGCAGATGCAAAGGTGGAGAAAGGCGGCAAACATAATCTGACCATGGAGTAAAATTTAACTAAGCATTTCATTGTATAGAAGATGGCGATTTTCCCCGCCCCCATCTCTCGACAGATTTGTAGACTCATACTATATCCGTTCCCTGGGATTATAGAGTTGAATAATTATCAATTATTTTGAGCATATTTCAATAGAAACAAGCCTAGTTCAAACAGTACACCATATTAACGGGAGTGGCATACAAATAGCATACTATCACGGTAACATTACTCTACAAGTAATTTACATAAACAGATGTTATGCGGACTCTGACAGAAATTGCCTAAAATAAAGCAAAATAAGTTGCCATGATTAGTGTTAAGGTTCAATAACCCGTTTCCGGATATTGTTGCCACGGTCACACACAAGCAATTAATGTACGTCGTGTATTTGTGGGACATGCGTGTATTCGTCCCGGTTCTGATTGGTCAGTTGTCAATTTTGACTGACACTCCAAAAAAGGTCCATTGACAACAACATTCAGGATTTCTAATTTTAATTCCCAATGCGATTAAACTTGAGGACTACAACTTTAAAACATACGTAAGTAAATAATACATGGTTGACAGACTAGGATTTCATAGGCCTATTAGGCCTACATTTATATGGCTCCTTAAGTGCCAAATCACAGCCGCTATTGAATATTATCATGTCCTATTTTAAAGAATACGCTTGGCTGGTCACGTTCACGGATATTGTATGGAACAAAATGCAAATCTTATTGTCCTAAATCATTGCTTTGATTTAAATTAGATAATTAAGAAAACATTTTAATTAACAGTATCATCCTTTAGATTAAATAATGTAAATAAAAGCTGATGAAACAGAGAGTGTAGTCTTATGGATCATTGGATGCAATCAACTGTTAGTCCCTGATTTCCGTATTAAATTAAATTTGTTTGCATTTGAATTACCTGCGCGTGGTTTGATGATGTTGCTCGTGAACTTAAATTTACCTCAGTAAGTGGTCAAACATTCTTTACATGAATGTTTATAACATTGTAAATATCTGAAAACTCATTGAAATGATATAGCATGACGTAATCATATTGACGATAAATGATGCCAATAATAATAATGGATGACGATAATAATGATGTTGATGGTGATGATGATGATGATGAGATTAAGAATGATTAGAATGATTATGATGATGATGATGTTGATGATGATGAAAATGGTGGTGATGATAATGATGATCATAATGATGTCGCTGATTATGATGCTGTTGCTGCTGATGATGTTGTTTCAAATGATGGCGTAGATGATAGTGATAAATAATATGATGATGGTGATGATAATGATAATAATAGTAACAATAATAATAATAATAATAATAATAATAATAATAATAATAATAATAATAATAATACATAGCATAAATCATTCACGTGTAACACACTTAAGATCATCTATGTTACCACATGCGTCCAATGCCAAATAATTGCATAAAATAATAATCAAGGATAACCTATAAATAATTAAATAATGTTGTAGCGTGTTCCCTCAAAAACTAACGCGTGTATGCTGCCCTCTCTGGTAAAAACTTTGGAAATTACATTACCCTTTTCCAAAAAAAAAAAAAAAAAAACGGGACAGACGCGTGTTCGATTGAGATTAAGCAATATCAAATTTAATCACGAATACTACAGTATATACAAAATAGAAAGTCCTATTTGTGATGTAATTAAAAAGTTAATCTAAATCATTATGATTGACATGAATCGGCATACAGTTAGAGCAGCTCAGCCCAGTCAGCTAAACTGGTGGTAACCCTACTACTAGTGCACTGTGTGTGCGTTAAACCGATCTCTTGGTCGCGGTTCAATTCCCATCGCTGCTCTCTTTGTGTTCCAGTCGAAATACAAGTTTCAATAGAGAAACGACTTTTGGATGAAACGTTAAGCCGTTGGTCCTGTCTACAATATGGCCCATGTGCACGCTAAAGGACGCTTGTCTCCCGGTGTACTGCCCAATCACTGGAAATTTTCTTCGGACTTCGGTCTGGGTTATCTTTGGTGTTTACTCCGAATAAATCCATTCTTATTTAATCCTACATTGTAACTTCTTTTAATGCTCGCTTTGATGCTGTAAAAATGTCACAAACAAGGGTTTACTGTAATACTCTATAATAATACAATGCATATAATACGAACTATAAGATTATCGCCTTTGTGAATAACTAATTCCGTATGGTAATGACATGTAGATGAATCTCATTAATTATCATGTCTTAGCAAGGATCTGGGGATTGTATTTAATTTGAAAATTGTTATAGTCAACAAATCTGTGATGAATTACTGATATATCACTTTTGCCAATTCTTAAGTTGATCATATGAGGCGTTTGATTGGCTACTGCCTGCGTAATAGTAAAAAGAATCCAATGTGAATTTTATATTCAACATTTATAGTTGGTGTCAATAGTCGTGATAATTCCCACGGGTTGTTCGTTTGAAAGTAATTAGTCTACACATACAGTCGTCTCAGAAGGATTACGGCAGCGCTTCTCGATGTTAATTAACGCAAGGGTCAGAGTATACACAAGAGAGCGACTGATTTTCTTTAAATACAGCAACATCTCTGGTGGTTCACAATCAAACCACTAGGAAACGATTCCGTTCAAGTCGCCAGACAACCAAGCCGACAACCAAGGAAATAAGTGACATTTCTTAGTCTACCACCATCTACCAACACTTGAGTAAGTGATACGACTTGTCTTTTCAAATATATATTTTCCTACATTGTATAGGCATAGGCCTAGGCCTATAACGGAAATATCGTGTAACCGTAGACACGCTGTGTACATTGGCCAACTACTTTACCTTGGTAATTAACAATTAATAGCTATGTAGATAAAACATTATGAAATGTTTAAAATCATACTAAAAAGATTTAAAAGTAGACACCAATGTAAAATGTAAATAATTTTCTTAACTATTAAGTTATATGTTTGTTTTTGTTTTGTTTTGTTTTTTTATTATTAAGTGAACATCCAACAGTCATTCTCCAAAAATACTTTAATAATCCGTCCAATCAATATCGGCAGAGTTTGCAATTAAGGTGTTGATTAAGGACGTACTTTTGAGAATTATGCATTATATCTTTTTAATAGAGCAGGAAAATGGCTCCGTAATCGAATTTGGTCGCATCCCTAAACTAATTTACCAATTCCCATGTTAATATAGAAAGAGTTTAAGAATGTAAAATCACAAATAGTAAAATTAAACTGTATCAGTAGGCCGTCAGCAATAATGGTACTTGGGGAGCAGATTGAATAGTGTGGTATACAAAATAAACATAGGTTTGTTTAAAATAATGATGATCAATTCTATCTCCGAATAAGCCTAATTTAAACAGATAATAATTTTACACAAAAGGGTTTGAATAAAAAAATCCTTTCACTAACGCGTGATCTAATAAGGGTTTCTTTCGAATAAGCACTGCACCACACGTGAATTTTTTGGTGCCTCGCTGGAATACGCACCGCCGCAGCGATTTCTATTGTAAATAAGACTTCGCGGAGTTTAAATCCAGCGTTATACAAGCGTTTATAACAATAAACTATTAAACAGCTTAAATAAGGTTCCACTTAGACATTCCAATAATTGGAATACAGTAACCACCGCTCTGAATCCTCCAAAAATTGTATAGTCATGCGCCACTGTACTTCCTTTAGGAAGGTCGTTTATGGTACGTACTTAAAATTCATGTTTTTGTTTCCACAGAAAAAATGAAGAATTTTTTTGTATCATGCATAGCTTTCGTGCTATTTGTTGCTGCATTCACGCCATCCAACGCACAGACCACTGATGAAATGACAATTGATGAGATATTCGCAAGGATAGACAGCGATCTTACAACCCTCTATAACTGTATTTTCAATGGATGCAATGAAGGTAAAAAATATATTTCTTCCTATGTTATACTATTTTGGAAATATAGGGCCTACCAACTATTGTTGTTATTTTTGCTGTTGATGTCCGGCACTTGCCTCACTATTTACTTCCTATCTAAAAACACATTTTATCCAATCATTATGTTAGCGATTAAGAATGTAATCAATAAATAATTTCATATACTTATTCTAACTAACGAAATTGTATTATTTTTTATTATGATACTTTTTTGTATACTTATAGAGGTCTACCATAGCAAGATTAGGTGTGTTTGATTTTATGAACTGATTTTTTTTTATATAAAAATGTAAAATAATAATCTGGCTACTGCAAAGCTCATGACCAGAAAACAACCTCTCCGTTGTACAGTTCAACCTCCGATGCTCCAAGCGAACAATATTACGTTACTGGAACGTTATAATAACGTTACAGTTTGGTGATAATAACGTTATTTTGTAGAACCATATGTAAGTACTTATAACCCATTTTCACAACGTCGCAACGTTTGGACGTTCTTACAACGTTGTGTAAACGTTATGCTGCGACATACCTAACCACAACGTTCAAGAACGTTATAAAAACGTTTTGTGTTTGCTAGGTGACCCGTCTAATTCGAGACCACTTTTTTTCAAATTTTTCAATCAGTCAAACAGAAGCGTAACCTCTAATGTTGATAGAATTTTGAGACCACTGCAATTTTAGGTCCTAAAGTTGATCTCGATTTAGAGGGTGCACTGTAGTAATGCAATTTTTGTGTAAGGGCACCAGGTGCTGAGCACAGGTTCTTCCAAAATTTACCAAAATTTGACACCGGGAATATTGATTAGAAACAACCTTTAAATTACTACGTGTATATGTTTTGGAGCTGTAAACAGATTGATATACGCGGATAAAACAGACTGTGGCACTTAGCACACAGTAATAACTTTCTATTTATGTAGAGCATTTGGTAAAAATAGCAAAGTACATTTTCCAAGATCGACTAACTGGCATGTGGCATACTGGAAATTGCGTTTCTAGAGCATTAACATTATTCCGTTAAAATGTCACTTGTTTATATTTACATCATACCGTGCCAATTGCTCTTAAAAATACATTTTTTCCCAGATGATCTTTGAGAATACTCAATTAACCGTATGTTCAATCTGGTCTGCATTGATAAGATTCGATGAAAAATCTGTATAAAATTAGCTATCAGTATTTTTGACATCTACAGTATGAATTTGATTTATGATAAAAGAAACGCAGTGTTATGTATTTAATATATTGATTTATGATATACATAGACTGTGATAATTCACATAATAATTAATGTATATTAAAGAAATTAATGTTGAGCATGAAGAACAGAATAAGTCAACTAGTTATTTGCATTTAGTTACCACTTGATGTCCAAAATTAATTGTTGTTTCGGAGATGATATTATAGTTGTTTTTATCAACAACTACGAAATCAATTAAGCTGTTTGTAAGAAGCATTATCCTATCTATGAACATTTATTCAAAATTTCCATGAGTTGCATAGGCATCAAAAGAAGCGATTGCTTTGTCAGTTTGAATACCAAACATACAAATCACATATGGAATACATGGAATTTTAATTTTCGGTCGCTATCAATATTGTGGGCACTTTCTGGAAGGGGAAATGCTCTAATGATTTTTACGCAACGGTAATAATACCGTGTGCAATCAGACACCAAAGACATCCCCGGAAAGTGAAAACAGTCATGGACGACTCTCAAGACTATCATCAAATCAAATCATTTGATTTCATGCTGAGATGATTTAACAAGCTTTTTTTTCCAAAATCAAATTTGCTGTAATAGGCTAAGTGTAAACTGACCTTAAATGAGATTTTGAATTGAGATTATGGATTGATTTAGACCAAGTGGGAAATTTGCAATATTGATTTGCGGTTACAGTGTATCCTCGGTTGTGTCTTTAGGACGAATGTAGGTCTGTGCAACTAAGGTTTTCTGCTTTGGAGTGTATACGAGTATACATATTATATAAGCAAATAGATAAATAATAATAACAGTACATCCCATTTGCCTTCTTAAATTTATATATATATATATATATATATATATATATATATATATATATATATATGATAGTAATTAAAGAACTGTTGTAGTAAAATGTCTATAAATCAGCGAAAACTAATTTGTCCTGACCTGTAAGGAGTTGTTTAATTTAAGATTTTGAGGTTCGTATATAGGTGATTAAAGACGAAATTGAAATGGTGTGTAGATAGCATACGGTAATGCTATAATCAGTATTATATGTGTCAAGAAACACAATTAAATGTTGTCTGCTTTGCTTGCTATACTCTATTTCAGGATTTTTAATTCTTTTTTTAGAGTTATCCAATGTTTCTATAAAATTGAATTTACCGTAGAAAAGTGTAGTACATGATGAATCAGCTAGCTGTTACTTGGAGCCAGTCAATCTGCAAATCTTTGATGCAAATCCTAACATTAATTAAAGCAAGTAGCCGAATGAAGGATCGTACTATCACTCATAGCTTGGGCTATTTTTGTTTACGTTCCAACTTGCTTCGAAAAACATAGTTAGAAGCCATAGTTAAGATGTTAATTTCTGCTATTAAAGCTATGTGTGTATACAGTATAACAAACACGTTTTTTTAAAATTAAACAGATGATACAAAATGTCACAAGCTTATTGAATTTATTAACTTAAATACTTTTGTTTAGCATCTCAAAATATATTTCTTACATAAGCCTATTATATAAAATACACAACTAAGGTATATTATTATATTATTTAACGTTATGTAATATTTTGCTTACTATAACGTATGTAGTAAGTCACGTATCTTCCAGTTTTCTGTACTGTATTAGTGATCAAAAGTGAAAGAAAACGTCGATAGATGTCAGGGTTTTTCACACCTGATTAGTATCACAAAAAACGAAAACACAAACCAAATTTATTCTTCTTGGTGGCTCTTTTTTTAAAAAATATAGTTAGTTAGAATCTTATAATAAGTTTCATTAATCATTTTTTTTATGTAGGTTTGTCAAATATGCATGTTAATTGTATTGTTATAATATGTATAATCAGAGAGGAGTAACTATTGGCATATCCTAACAAAAGACCAAAAACTACCAAAAAATAATTTAAAAAAATATTATTTAAGACCAAATTAAACAAATTAAACAATGTAAATGTGATTGTACATAATAATCGTTTAAACAGACATATTGTACCTTTTAAATTAATGAGTCTAAATTTGTTTGTTTCACTGTTATTCATCTCTGTTAACCATTTCTTACTAAAAGGTATAGATCTAGTTGTACTAAAACGTTCCATTAGTCAATATTGGGGAGTCATTTATTCATTGTTTGATAATATAGTCCTATATTTAATTGAAAAAGACGAACAAGTTTGAGCATTGAAGTATATTTACAGCATAACATTTGTTTACTTCTACAGAAACAGATTCACTAGCAAAGCGAGGACGTGTTGGTCTTGCTCATTGTTTGATAATATAGTCCTATATTTAATTGAAAAAGACGAACAAGTTTGAGCATTGAAGTATATTTACAGCATAACATTTGTTTACTTCTACAGAAACAGATTCACTAGCAAAGCGAGGACGTGTTGGTCTTGCTCAACTAGACAACATCGGCCGAAACAGGATGAGCTACAAGGGTCTTAAGTCAAAGATTTTGGGAGGCGCTGGAAAACACTGAACACACTACTTCAAGAAAAAAGTACAACAAAATCAGTGTAAGTGCGGCTTGCTACATTTTTACTACCTTCACTTATTCACATAATCGTTAGCGAATATACACGCATCACTATATAATATAATGTATAACAAAAATTAAGAGACAAAAATTTAGAAACGCAAACATGCAATTACAGTAAATTTATTTAAGAGATGACAACAATTTTAATGTGTGTGTGTGTATGTGTGTCTCTTGTCAATGTCGAAATCACTTGATCTGTATAAACATGTAATTCAATATTCTTTCTTACGTAATCCAAGCAAAGCATGCTATCAATATTCACGTACATGACCGATAGAAAAATTAAATAAAGTTTAAGTAACTTTATTCCAGAAGCCTGGGGCACAATCTGGGTATATGATGAGTGCATCGTTGAAAGAAATATGCCACAAGATAGATCCATATCCATTTCCTACCGGTACTACTTTATTAATAAAACGTGCTGTCGTAACGCATTACATTTTTGATTGAACATGGAAAGGCATTATAACATATTATGACTGTAGAAGACTCCTACCAGACATTTTAAAACTAAAGATAGATGCTCACAAACATAATTTAGACTTTTATTTACGACCACATGGATTATTGAGACTTAGAACCATTATATTTGACACTTAAAATGTCACTCTCTGTATAGTTTTTATAGTGTCAAATATAGATACTTATGATTGTTATGTACATCTGTATTTTAACGTATATGTGAAAGCTCCAAATATATTAGAACATTAAATTTTACATTGAACCAAACATTAAGTACACATGAGTGGGTACGTTACCATTGTTGCGGATGATAAGTACAAAATATAATTAGTAGATAAAATGTTTCTTGAGGTAATATTGCTTCCGTAAAACGCTAGAGTTTACAAAATAATACCATGTTAACATAAATTAGGTTTGATATCTTGAACGGAGCATCACATACATATTGTTAATTACACGAGATTATTTAGATAATGATATTAAAATTAAGACCATTTTTTAAGGATCCATATGAAACATGTGAGTAGCGAAGTATAGTAAATATATGCATTATTATATCTTCGCAGGTTTTTATAAACATCTTATCAAAGAAGTTCGGCTGTAGCGACAGACCATCCATTGGAAACTTCAACAATTTTTCTTCACTCGCTCTCTCTATGTTTCTCTGTTATATTTCAATAGTTTATCAACATTCAGATATTTATTTAAAGTGAGTCAAAACTTATAAAATCAAGATAAACCTTCTTGAAAATGTAAACGCTATGGTATATTTTTAAAGAGGAGATTGTGAGCCTGCTAAAATGATTACAATGTTGATGTCTCCCAATAATTGTGATGCCGTGGCTTGCGTTTAAAAAAGAAACAACTTCTAAGAATCTCCCGTTATGGACCAAAGAATCTCGTATCAATATAGGCCTATATGTTACGCTAGCAGATTTTGTCACTCCTAAGTAGTGTAAGTTTGTGCATCGTTGACTACCCTCCAGAATTGTTAATAGCTTTCTAATAACGATCTTAATTGACAGATGCTATACAAACCTAATCTACCCTCGCTTGCTTGATGTAGATTTAGAGGCCTGAACCCGGATTAATATACGGTAAATGAACAATTGCAAACGGTTGACTCGTATTGCATTAACAACCAGTATTCAAATTACGTAGATGTAAATAATAGAGAAAAAACGTGGTACACGAATATGGATGTTATTTTAGTCAGAGTCAAAAAAAAGTCAAAGGTTTCCTACTATCGTAAAAACAAAAAGTTCCCTTGATTTAGCCCTAGGCTTATTCTAAACTTGCATAGACTAAATAGATCAATTGTTTATACTGTCCAAATGTTTAAAATTTAATGTTAAATTTTTGAAAATTATAAAAGCTATACTTCAATTACTCGGTTGGACGATCACCGATTTGCTATATTCGTGTGCCTTCAAATGCATTCCGTAAAATTAATTCTCAATTAGCCCAAATGAATTATATTGAATGTAAAGATAAATGTAATTTCAATAAACGAAACTTCAAAACTGATGACTCATTTGTTTCTTGTATTTTCGTGATTAGTTTGTCATCCCTCTGAATTTAAATGCCATACAGCAGACAGTGACTTCTTTAATGGAGACCATATCCATTTCATCTATCGACAGCAGATGAAATTACCGAGGTTTGACACAAAATGAAGAGGTCGCCAGAATACATGTAGTTTATAAAGAAACTGACATATTCATTCCAAATTCCTCAGTCAGGAGATTGAGCCGTTGTTTCCGTTATAACATAAGGAATTTGTATTCACAAAGTATTAGGGGGTTGTCTCCCAGCATAATAATTAATACATGTCCTATGCCTACCATTATTGTGCATCCGTGTTAAAATTGAAGTGAGTGTTAAACTTAGAGAGAGAGAGGTAGTGTGGGGAGATTAGTAGACCAGAAACAAGTGATGGTTTAAATATAATGGTCGGAATGGTCATGAAAAAAAACCAATTATAATCATAAAGATATCTCCATGATATAATTCTACAAAATTCTACCTGCATTACAATTGGATATCAAAAACCTTTATATTGACTACAATCTACGGCAACTAAAACGATGTACACCTCAAATATGTACCATTTTGGTAAAATTCATAAAATATAAAAAACATTACGGGACCAAATAAGTTATCGAAAAGGATAGCTAGGACTATACACTCGCATGTTCACATCAAAAGTACAGACTGCAGTACACCCAAAACTTTTATAGATCCGATACACGCCCCTTGTGTTCACCAGTGTTCACCGTGCTGCATTCCACGTTGATTACCCTTCACGGTCACTTTGGACAAGACTTAGTAACAAATGTAATTCCAAACGAAAATGTAAAAACGAATATACTTGATATTGTCCAATCTGCCTTTTCGGTAGTACGGTCATTTATTATGTTGCTTTGGGTTTTCCAACAAAAATAGTTACCATGCTTTTGTTCTGCAAAGACATGACAACACGAGTATACAGTTTACATCTTCAATTGTTTTCACAGATATAGTTCCTCTATTTCTTGAGAGGTTCTGTATAAGCGTGAAACTTGACAACATGATTAACAAAAAAGAAAAAACAAAAACGGTTGGTGGCAACTGCTTTGGCCAATTCCATCTCTGCTTTCCTTGTGTTTTCGATGGAGGGCTAAAATGTAAGTTACATTAGTACAATTCCCGAACGTTCTAGCTGTTGGTCCCGGGTGCAAAATGGTTAAACAGTATGAACGTTAAAAAACTTCGGAATCTTCGGAAAGGAAAACTGCACCAGAAGGACGCCACTGAAAGAATGCCTATGTCTATACCAATATATTATAACGTGGCTAATTTTATGATTATTTGGAGCTAAACTTCAAGTACAAAAAATAATATCTCTATAGCATTAGGATCAGTGCATCGTATATAAAAACCCATTCAATCGTTTGCCGTCTGTGTACTACTGAGAGATCACATTGCCATAATATTGATTTAAAAAATGACATGCGTGTCAATAACAAATATAGGAAATATCTGACACTATTTGTCGAAGCATCTGACAGAATTAATCAATCATGCATTTGTGAATTCTCGTCTAATTTATGGAAACACGTTACACATGTCTCTCAGCCAAAGAACTCTCCCGTATAAAGTGTCTGCAAAATAATACAGCAGCGTATCGACATCACCTCATGTTTTACAAACTTGACATTAGCTACCAGTTCGACGAAGCTTACATTGATTTTTTTTTAAATTTAGTCCCAATTAGGTTGCATGTTTCTGCTTATCTAACGAAAAACGATTTATATACTTGACCTGCCCATTGAAATATCATTAATTACCAGTTTGGGGAAATCGGCTTTTTATTGTTACCTTGGTACAAGTCTGGAGCATCGGAATGACACAAAATCACCGTGGAAATTAATAAAGAGAGCAGAAGACGTTCCACTTCAATTCTGCTTTGAGACGATAGATAATTTGTAGAAGTAGCATGTACGTTATGAAAAACACTCGAGTCATAAGCATTTCGCCACCGTCCTCTCTTGAGAATTTCGACCCCCGGTTGGTCCTCCCTGTGGCCGTAAACTTTGTTCGCTTTGAAGATTTTGGCCTGGGGCGCGGAAGCTGAAATTTCTAAAGATTTACAAGGAGATACCGTTCCTCCCTTACTCTAAATTGTTTATTTTATCAAAATGAAACTGATCACAAACACATAGGCCTATTTATCAAGCTACTGGCCATTCTAGATGCGTAGTCTTTAATTAGGAAGGGTTCACACTTTTGAAATCATGAAAAGAGATGTTCTACCTGGAAGTAATTGCAGTAGTTTTGATTTCAACTGTATTGTACTTCATATGTACCCTACAACAACATATTAAAAATCTATAAAAAAAAATATATATATATTTAGTGGAAGCCACCTAAATTTCGACATTTAAATATTTAATATCTGGGTTAAAGGTCATGACAATTTAGTTTTAATATCTTGTCAACTACTGGTCTTAGAGAGCTGCTTTTGGTGTCAAATTGCTTAGAATATGTATGTTCCTATTCGGTCTATGTATGTTCCTATTCGGTGATAGGAATTCGCCAGTTTTTGAGAGTATTAGACGAAAAAGTTGTTAGCTTAGTATTTTCATAAATAAAACATATTAGTAAAAAAAAATCAAAAACAAATAAGTCTTTTGGTACTTTTTGAGTCACAACATTAATATAATTAATATAATGTGTTTTCAGACACATCAATTGATAGTAAGTTTCATAGCTTTCTTATGATGCCATATATATTTAAATTTAATTGATTAGTAACCTACTAGCTTTAAAATACCAATTTACACCAATTTATATTGGTGTTTTATTTTGTATGTGGTCAGTTTTTGAAAAAGTAAAGGTTGTTAGCTAAGTATTTTTCGTATTTACTTAACAAAATATGTATTATTAAATTTAGCAAAAAATGTCATAAAAATCATTTTTTTTTTCATAATATTTGGTTCACAAAATTAATATAATGTGTTATCATATACATTACGCGATAAATAATTTCAATAGCTTTCGTATGACACCATATAGGCTATATTGATATTGAATTTTCCAGTGACGGACTAGCTTTAAAATACCATTTTTGGGTAAACACGTGTAAAATTTGTCATTTTTTGGTCAAATTTAGGACTAAAATCCACAATTCAACGTGGCAACAACCTATTCCGTGTGAGCCAATGCCTAGTGATTACAATTCACCAGTTTTTGAAAAGTATCACACGAAAAGTTTTTTAGCTTAATAGTTTTAAATAAAATTTGTATTTTAAATTTATCCAAAAAAGTAATAAAAATACTTTTTTAGTATTTTTTAAGTCACAAAATTAACATAATGTGTCATCATACACATCGTTTGATAGATACTCTAAATAGCTTTCGTATTATACCAAATATATTCAAATTTAATATTTTAATAACTTACTAGATTCTAAATACCATATTGTGGTGAAAAAGTGTAAACTTTTTTATTTTTGTCAGAGATATACTTTGACATACTATAACCCCGATACAAAAAATTGATAATGTCTGAAATTTTTATAGGTGATTTATTATGTATGTGAACAGTTTTTGACAAAGTATCAGAGGAAATGGTGTTAGCTTAGTATTTTTCGTATCTATTTAATATAACATTATTAAATTTAGCAAAAAAAGTCATAAAAATCAGCTTTTTTGTTATTTTTAGGTCACAAAATTAAAATTAATATAATGTGTCATCATATACATCATTCAATAGATAATTTAAACATTAATTTCTATGACACCAAATATATTCATGTTGAACCTTACAGTAACGGATTATCTTCAAAACACTATTTTTGGGTAAAAACGTGTAAAATTTGTCATTTTTGGTCACATTTGACTTCTTCTAATAATTAGATTTTTCTAGATTTTTGATATGTTATTCCTCAATAAATTCTGAGTTAAAAACAATTATTTTCGTTACTATTGCAATTTGTTCCGGGTTGACCCCTTTTTTGTAGACTGACTGGACTATATAGGCCTACAGAAAAAAGGTTACATTATTGGGAATTAATAAAATAAATATAGAAAGTATAATATTAACACTACATATTTTTTATGTATACAGAATTCTCTTAATTATGCAATTATATATACATATCGAAATAACTGACTGCGTCAATGCAGCACGTAAACCACTCAACAATGGTCTGTGTCTTCATTATTTATTATAATGGACATAAAAAAGTTACATTAGTAGGAATTCATGAAATAAGATATAGACAGTATGATATCAAAAGTAGCATACAGTAACTTTTAAATGCAAGTGTTTATGATGAATCTCACCGCCATCCGTCACCGTCATCGTTTATGCTCCAACTAAAACTCACCTGTTTTCATAGTTACCTGCTTTTCAAGCGCTGTGGGACTCCTGAAAAGAGTACTATATAAATACTCAGATATTATTTCATTATTAGTAATTTTTCATGATACAGTCTGCAAAAAGTTTAACTTGTTTTCCAAGGAAAATTAGAAATATCTTCTGACGCATTAAATTGTGCTAAAAGAAATTTTATTCAGCAAGGGAATGAGCAATGCATTTGTTTAAAAGAACGAATATTATGGTTAAAATGGTTTTAAAAAGGTACTATACTCGCGCGAATAAGCGCCCCGGCGCTTAAAATATTTTTTGCACTTAAGGGGCGCTTATTCAAACGGGGCGCTTATAGAAATAGATGAAAATCGAGAGGTTCTTATGGGAATTTATTAAATTCAAGAGGCACTTTTTGAATAAAAAAAGATTATATATAAGGATATTACGAATGGTGGTGCGGAGGAAAAGATAATAGTCCAGAGAACATGGTTCATGACAAGAATGCTGCAAATATTTACATAACAGCAGAATAGCAGATGTGGTTGTAAGCTTGTTGGCCATCGGCCGATTGAGATTAGCAGGATAGCAGGATCATTGCAAGTTGTCGGAAAAAGAAAAACAGGAGTAGGACTAGGCCTAGACAAAGAAGAGGAAAGTTAAAAACGCTTTT